TATGTATGTAAGACTATATATACACATTCATATATCCACGTTTGTATATGTATTTAACAAGTAATGAAAAGAAAGCAAGGAGGGGTATGTGGGAGGTTTTGGGGATAGAAAAGGGGGAAATGATGTAATTCTACTATAATCTCAAAATAATAAAAATAAAAGAATAAAATGTGTCAGTAAAAGTATGTATAAACAATAGCATCTCTAGCAACCTCTGGACACCTGGGAACAATGCTGTGAGAAAATGTGCTTAGCAAAGGGCAGTCAGTAAGCAACAAGAAAACTAATCAAGTTTGTGCTAGAGCTACTAAAAAGTAACTCACTTAAAGTAAGTTTATGGGGTTTTAGTATGCTTAACAGAAAGATACATGAAATCTTTTACATACTGCTTAATCTGTTAAAAGAGTTAACATGTATATTTACCTTTTAAGTTCCTAGAAACCATGTCCAATTCATGAAGGAGTAGATTGCTTCGGTACCCCAGGTGCTGGGGTTCTATTATAGCCAATACCACCACACTGGGCTACAAACTTTGTTTCTTTGTGAATTCAAGTGTCATGAGCTGTCTATGTCTTCCTTGCCTGCCCATTCACATGTTGAGGCCTTAGCCTCCAGGTAGTTATGATAGGAGACCACTAAGGAAGGCAATGAGGTTAAAGTGCTAGAAGGGGCGGGGGTCCCATTTTTATTAGTATCCTTGTAAGAAACGACACCAGAATTGTCTCCCTCCTGACCCCAACCACATTACACATGAAGAAGGGATGTAAGTCAAAAGGTAAATGGCAAAAGCCTATATACCAAGAGGAAAACTTTGGAATAAAACAGTCCTTGCTGATAGGTTCATCTCCTGAGGTCAAGTTTCCATTGGGTTACCAGTCTGTGGTAATTTTTTACATTAGTCCTAGCAGGCTAAGACAATTAAGCCCTGAAGTCTTCTGGAAAAGCCTTCAAAAGGTTAAGTTCTAACTTAAAATACAAACATATGCCTTACTCTCTCTTTCCTTCTCCTTTCTTCCTGTTGATGAGAATAAAAATGTTATGAGAGGGCCACTGACCAGGTTTAGTTTTTAGCAAAATTCTAGACAATGGACCTGTATCTATTTGTGACAGGGCTCTGGTTATAACCCAGAATAGCCTTGAACTTGCGACATAGCCCAGGCTGGCCTCAAATCTGTGTCCTCTCTGTCTTTCTGCCTCCCACGTGCTGGGATTATAGATCTGTACGTGGGAGGATGGGAGAGTTGCACATAAATTCTTTAAAGGCACAGTAGAAACTCAGTTCAAAGTAGAGGCAGGTGTAAAAGTCATGTTATCTTTTACCTAGTTCCCAAACAATGCACCAACTGCTCCCATGTAAGGAATGAGTAGAGGGATGAGATGCTCTCTCTCTCCTCCCCTCCTCCCCTCTTCCTTTGAACTTTTCATTAGTTTCAGAAATCTTCCTAATAAATTTTGTTTGGAGAAATACAAGTAGAAGATGTGTATTTCTAGGAGACACATCTCTGGACACATCTGTAAAGGAGTTGCTGGACTGGGTTAAGTGAGGTGGAAATATCTCCTTTTACTGTGGGAAGGAAGCACTACCTGACGTCCAGGACTGAATAAAAAGGCAAAGTCAAGTGGGCACTAGAGCACGGTCTCTGTCAGCTTCTCCACTGCAGATGGAATGTGGCAGCTGCCTCCCTCCCTCCTCCCACTCCCTTCCATGCTGGACTTGACCCATCAACAGTGAGCCAAAGGAAACCCCTCCTCAATGTGTCAGGTGTTCTGTCACACACAGAGGGAAATGACTAAACAGAGCTTTACTGCTCAATTCAAACATAATTTTTAAAAGGTATAAATTTAAAATTTGTCTACTTATGTGAAAGAAGCGAATTTTAGCATTTCAAAAGAAAATAAGTGTTACTGAAAAATCATAAACTACCATTAAATCAAAGTATATGGTCTCACCAAAATATTATTCTATCAAGAAATGGAGCAGAGGGCTAGAGAAATCACTCATCAGGTAAGAGCACTGGCTGCTCTTCCAGAGGACCTAGGTCAGTTCCCAGCACTAACATGGATGCTCACAGCCATCTGTAAACTCCAGTTCCAGGGCATATGATACCCTCTTCTGGCCTCCCTGGGCAATGGGCACAAACACGGTGCACATATAGAAGTAAAGCATCAATAATGTTTAAAATGCCAAGGAGCAATAAGAATGCTGTTCTTGTAATACTGTAACAACAGGTTAACAGAGAAGCTCACCTTATAAATAAAAGACTGTTAAGCTCTCAAAAATAAAGCCCTTTCAAGTGCACGCTAAAAGGAGGTCACTTCCTCTGTTATAGAATGTCTGAAATTCACAAAATAGATCACACTCTAAAAACATGTCTTGTTTTTTAAGTTTAGAACACTGATCACATTTTATCACTGGGGAAAAAAACCACCAACAACAACACAAATTCACACACCCATATACATACACAGGTTTTTAAATGGTGGCTACGTTTCAAGATTGAGCCACAGGAACTACTGATACAATAAAGGGTGGAGAGGGGACTTTGAGACCACTAAGCCATATCAATAGAAACTAAGACTCTAAAATAGTAGGATGCTTCAAACAATGCTGATGTGGTACACAGGAAGTTATTCTCCTGTCATGTTCCAAGTTGGGTGGTAGGAGACTAAATGAATCACTGGCCATGGAAGTGGAGGTGTGGAGACAAGAGAAAGGAGCAGGAGTGCTTGGTCCAGGGCCTGGTACAACTTGTAAGGTTGGGTTTGCTTGTGGATTTTTCCACTCCATAAAAAATCAATTTTATCTTTGTTTGGACACCTACAATATTTCCTTTTTTATATTCCTTTTTTATATACACAAATGCAATTAGAGACAATCAACAGATAAGGAAATTTTACACACAGAACTTTTAAAAAGATGGGAGGCAAAAAAAAAAAAAAAAAAACCAAGAAAACAAACAAACAACCAGGAAGATTCTGAACAGACTGGGAAGGGAAAAGTAAACCTTACTAAGAGTGAAGGGAAGAAACAGTAAGAACCTGAGAACCTAAAGATGCTGGAGGCACGAGAGAGGTGGGGGAGGGGCAGAGGCAGGGACCCAAACACCTATGGTATCCCTAAAGGGAAGAAAACAGGTGGCAAAGAGCCTGCTGAGTCCTGCTGCTTGGGAGCACAGCTGGCACCACACAGCTGGTCTGGGGCTACAACAGCAGTAATCGTGGTAACCGGCACAGTATCAACAGCTCCTACACACCAGGCATTCTTTGAGAGCTTTTTGTTGCCACAAACGTCTGTCTTCAATGCTACTGTTAGATTTTATAGTCAAGAGTACAATGGCTTGTCAAAAATCATCCAAACAGTACTCCCACCAGAATCAGGTGTGTTCTGCTGAAGCACCAGGGCCATCACATAGACACACATGTGCTCATAAAAGAGTGACAGATGGCAAGGACTAAGAGTGTTCCATCACCACTTAGTACCACTTTGTAAAAGAAAGGATCACAAGTAGGAAATGTCAGGAATTTGGTACCCATTTGACATATACATTGGGGAGACAACAGTAAAAAAGCCAGATTAAAAATAGGACAAAGCTGGGGAGGTGGTGGAGCATCCTTTAATCTCAGCACTCGGGAGGAAGAGGCAGACAGATCACTGAGTTTGAGGCCAGCCTGGTCTACAGAGTTTTCCAGGACAGCCAAGGCTACACAGAGAAACCCTGTCTCAAAAAACAAACAAACAAACAAATAAAAACTCTCTACAGGACACACAGGTAGCGTTTTTTTTTTTTTGGGGGGGGGGGTAGGGAGAGTTCTTTTAAGACATTTTTACAGTATTTAGAAGATGTTTAAGTGTAATGGAGAATTTGAAGGCTTGAAAGGAGCTTTTTGAAAGGATCCTATTTGTGCAGAAATCTGAGAACACTGAGGAAGTAAGGCATAGGGACCTAGAAAAACTACTACAAGCAGAAGAAAGAACACAAAGGGCAAGGCCACAGAGAAAGAAGCAAGACCAAAGCAGCTAGAAAAGAGAGACTGGGAGGAGAAGGAGGAATGGAAAAGCAGAGGTGCTGAGGGGCCATCCACACCAGACCTTGGCAGGGTCCGTGCTTTTGCTCGGAGTGACATACATCAGTGAATTCTGAGCATGATCACATTTAGATTTTAAGAAGACTGCTTTAGATGAATCACTCAGTGCTGGAGATGAGGAGACCAAGCAAGGAGCAGGAACAATAACCCAGGCAAAGGAGCATGGTCCCCTGAATCAGGACAGAGATAGTAGCCCTAGTGAACGGGTCAGACCTAGGTTACTTTTGAAAGGTAGAGCCTTGGGGAGTTGTTATTGAGCAGGACTAGCACAAGGGGAAAAGATAAGATCGCAGTCACTACAGTACTCTGTAGTTGTAAGAACCCGAGAGATGTTATAATCTGAGAAGAGGAGGGCTATGGGCGTGTCAGGGTGCAGAAGGCAAGTAAAGACCGGAAGTTCATGGGACTAGAGATGGCTCAGTGGTGAAAGCACTTGCCAAGCAGCCTGCTGAATGCTATCCCTAGTCCCCACATGGTGGGATCAGAACTGACTCCTGAAGTCCCGTCTGACCTCCACCAGTGCACTATGGCTGGCAAGTACAAGCATGTGCATGTGTGTACACACACACAATATTTAAAAATAAAAATAAAAAAACAGATCAAAAGTTCAGCTTTGGAAATGGTAAGTTTAAGGTAGCTATTACATATGGAAATGTCATGTGAGCATTATCTGTAAGCTAGGAGAGGTCTGGCCAAGGGGTATGCATTTAAGAGCCTCAGCATTCAGACAGAATTTAGTCTTCTATATCAATAGACCATCAGTCTACAGGTTTTTCTTTTTTCCCCAGGGGAATGGGAGTTGGGGGTTTCTATTTGTGAGGATTTACATTTTATGACTTTTTTTTTCTTAAACAGAACTACCCCAAAAATAATCTGAAAAGGTTATTCTAAAACCTGACTCTATTTTACTCTAGACAGAGAACTACAGACAACGAAAGAATGCTGAGAATGGGAAAGCCGAGGTCTCGCCCGGGAAGAGCTCATCAAGTGGCCGTCCAGTACACACATACACGGAAAGGGAGGTTCTATGGACCGAGCAGGTGGTGGTTCATTTCAGGAACGAACACATACACAAGTGTGTATGTAACAATTAAAGAAAAAGAGGCCATGAAATGAAGAGAGCAAGGAGGTTATATGGAAAGGCTTAAAGGGAGGCGAGGGAAGGAGGAAATGATGTGATTATATTATAATCTCAAGAAATAAAATAAGTATTTTAAAAACCTGACTCTACTTTGATTAACATATATATAATTCCTTAGATCCTTTTATAAATCCAATACTTGTTATGAGGTTTTAGGAATCTTATTCATTGAACATTTATGTTGGCTGGGTTGTGATGGTGCATCCGTTTAATCTCAGCACTGGGGAGGCAAAGGCAGGCCTATCTCTGTAAGTTTGAGGCCAGCCTGGTCTACAGAGCAGGTTCCAGGACAGGCAGTTACATAGAGAAATCCTGTTTCCAAAAGAGATAGAGAGGGAAAGGGGGGGGGGGGATACGGGACACAGGACAGATTTTCTGTCCGTCTTTAGTTATTAGACTCTCATCTGTGTTGCAGTGAAGACTAAACAATAGATCAACAGCACTCACTGACTGAAGAACAGTGGAACCGTGGACAAGCCACTCGGAAAGGACACTCCTGTTTTCTCACTGCATCACAAAGCTTTGTATGCCACAAAAAGAGCATAAACAAGTCTGTAGACTGTCTTTTACAGGTTGCTTAGTTTTCTCTGAACATTTACAAATTCAGTGTCTTTTCACCCACAACAGTGAAGAGAATAAAATTTTAAAAGTAGACATTTCACAATTACTACTGAATGATTCACAAGACGCATAGAAAGCAGCATTCTAAACTCAGTGGCCATGGACATAGTAGATTATGAGTGAAATCTCAAGGGTACAGAGAGTTGTTTGTTTTGTGATACAGGGTCACATCTGTAGCTCAGGCTGGCCTAGAGCTTACTAGGTAGTCCAAGCCAGCCACAAACTCATAGTAAACCTCTTGGCTCAGCTCCTAAGTGTTGAGATTACAGACATGAGCCATCTGAAAACTGATTTTTTTAGAGGATATCCTAACAGATGGATTTTCTCAAGTTAAGAATCAACAAGTAAACAGTGTGTCTACAACACAGATGAAACACACTGAGGTCAGGTTCCCTAAGAGGGCACACAACAGTCTTCTTTCACCTTATGTTCATAGGACAAAACTCTCCCATATAGTTCAGTTTGGTAGATTGTGGTGGCAGGATTACAGTTTGAATATGAAATGTCCCCAGGTTCATGCTAATGCTATTTTGAGAGGTTCTGGAAACTTGAGAGGTCAGGCCTACTTGGAGGAAGGAAGTCACTCCAACAACAGGTTGTTAGGGTAACTACTCCTGTCCCCTTCTTCTTTCCCTCTCTCTTCTTCCTATCTACAATGAGGTAAAGACATTCTCCTTACCTTAGATGCCTGCTGCCATGACGTGGCACTGGCCCAAGAAACTATGCCTTGAACCCTGTGAGAGTGTGCGCTAACCATTCGATCCCTGTAAAGATGAAAGCCCCTGGTGCAGGAAGACACACACATAGGGAATTGAAAAGCACAATGTAGAAACACTGCATTATCATTCTGAATAGTGTCTGTAAATAAGAAATAAAAATGTTTTGCAGCTATATAACCTATAGCTATATAACCTATTTTTATTCAATAAAATTAGCTCATTTTTTTAAATGCTATGTCTATGTTAACTAAGGTTTTTTACGGCCTTTGAATGCTCTGTAAGTTGTGCATGAGAAGAACAGGGGTAGTTGTAAAGAGGGACTGTTGGAAACACACCTCAAGTCTGCAATCAGAATTTGTAAGAAGGCTACATAAGGTGTTGAGTGGCAGGTAATAGACTATCAGGTCCATATAAAGAAAGTTCTCTTTTGAGGTACATATACTTCTAAAGGAAACTAGGGGGTCAAAATGTGGATACCGTATGTCTGTGAAGCACCATACCCTAGGCAGATTCAGATCTGCACAGCTCGAGACCTACAGAAGAACAGGAACAGAACAAAGAGTGAAAGCAGTGCAAAGGCTGATGTAACGACTCAACCCGCCACCACACAACCTGTGACAGTTCCAGGATGGGGACTAGCTTTAGCTGTGCTTTTAACAAAAATCTGCTTCAGATGGAACTAATACAACAGAATCCAGCTTTTGTTTTTTGGATTAGATTTATTCATTTTATTTGTGAGTGTTTTGTCTACATGTATGCATGTGACCACATGCGTGCTTAGTGTTGGTGGAGGTCCTAAGAGGACACGGGATCCTCTGGAACTAGAATTATGGACAACTGTACGCCACCAGGTAGTTGATGGGAATTGAACTTGGGTGTCCTCTCCTGCAAGAGCAACAACTGGTCTTAACTGCTGAGCCATCTGGCCATCTTCCAGGGTTCAGCTTTAACACGTCTTCACAGGTGAAAAATGAGAAATGAGGCATATCCTATAGATTTCAAAGAGATTCAATAATTTTGTCCTAAGGAATACCACTGATGATCTCAACTTAACCTCATTATGAGATTAACAGATCCAAAACCTGTTAAAAACAAAACAAAACAAAACAACAGCAACAACAAAAACCCAAAACCAAAAAAACCCCAAAGTTGACATCCTGCAGTGGTCAAGCACGTGTCTAGCATGGGCAAGACCCTGACCTAAATTCCCAGTGCTATTTAAAAAAATAAAGAAAGAAATAAGCATGGGCTGCACTTGTAGCTCAGTAAAGTGCTTGCCTGGCATGTGTGAAGCCCTGGGTTTAATTAATCCCCAGCACTGCATCCACTAGTCATGGCAGAACACACCTATAACCCTGATGCTGAGAAGGTGGGGACAGGAGGATCAGGAATTCAAGGCCATCCTAGTCTATGTGAGACCCCCATCTTTAAAATACACACATGCATACATCATAAATAAATACAGAACAAAACACACCTAAGATGACCTGACACTTACAAACCTGAAGGAGGGCAAAGAGGTAAGGTGACCAGGAACCACGGCTGCAGAAGAGTGGCTACAGGGTAGTCCATGTGATGCTCTACAACACAGTGGACATTAATGCAGCGAATGCTTCTGTGAGTCAAGTATCACAAACAAGACAAGTCCTCACACTCTAGGAAATGAGCCTGCAAGAATATAGAACAGCAGCAGCAGCTCTCAGAAACTAAAGAATGGAAACAGAAAGAAAACATGAAATGTTGCAAAGGGGAGTTAAAACACAGAATAAAGATGAGATGTAGCTGGTGGGAACATGAAGCCTTGATTTCCATCCAGCACCCCAGAACAGAAATATGGGGGCAGGGCCCTCAAGTGTGATCTGTAAACACTGTAGAGGCAATATACATGAAATACACAAGAAAAAGCCCACAACTTGCTTTGTGAGGGGCAGAGGGAGAGACGCAAAGGGTCTTGCTCTGCAGTCCAGACTCTAAACTTGTGACTCTCCCAGCCTGGCCTCCCAAGTGCTATGACCACAAGTATGTACCACCACCCCCCTCTGTTATTTCATTAGCCCTTTTATTTTTATTTCTAAATTAGTCATAAGGCTGAAAAATATAAAAAATTTAAAGGGCCCACTGGACTCAGATGCTAAACATTTAAAAAATATTTTTTTTTTAACTGTGCACTAAAGCATGGACGGAGAAACCATTGACTAAAAGAAGAGCAAGGACTCGGCCTCGAGTATTATAGCCTCAGACTGATGATGATAAACTTCACAAGTATTGAGGGAAGTCAAACATCCAGCAAATTATACCATGGGGGTGGGGATGGAAATGGGACACAGAAATGAGAGCTGAGGTCTGATCAACAGATTCATTAGCAGGCAGGTTGCTGGCCATGTTGACAGGAGCCATTTCCGTAATACAACGGTAAGAGAAACCTGACTGTGGCTAAGAGGGGTGAAAGGAGACCCGGCATGAACAGCCCGACTGTGTCGGCTTCAAAGGCAAAGGTAGCCCACAGGTGCTGGCAGAAATGAAGAAGGCAGGCGCAGTGTGACTTTTCCACAGGCGACATGCACACTACACACACACACACAGATGGGAGACCCAACAGAGAGAAAACTCAGATTCTGAGAAAGGGGAGCGGCTGGATCCAAGTCCCAGCACACAGCCAAGGCCTTTGCTGACGGTGGTGTGCAGGAGATCCTCCCCTTGCTGTTTCAGTTTCTCCCGTGTCCTCTGAAACCCACAGGGAACCCTCTCTTCTTCCCACCCTCGTGGTGACTGAATAGCAAGTGTGGAGTTCTGGCACAGATTGCAGCACCTTCCTACCTCACTCTCTCAGGCTCTGTTCTCTGAAATCATCAATGGATAAATGTTTTCTTGAGAAAGGGACAGTGAATGGCAGGCAGGCACAAGGGAACCAACCTCTGGTCTTTGGTTCAGTCTCAGGGCTGGGGAACAGCTCTCCTTGACTCTCACCTCCACTGTCTGAACTCTCAGTTCCAACCACTGAGTCATTCCATCTTTGTGAAAGGTGGCATGTGTTAACAGCAGAGGAGTTTTCTCAGCCTGCTTCCTGACAGAAATAAAGGGATGTCCAACCGCCTCTTCTCATGGACACAGCTTCTTCTTTCCTGTCTCAGATGCACTGGTGTTCAGCAAACTAGAAAAGCTGCATCCACAAATAGCAAGGCAGCTCCTGTGATAACGGCCATCAGCCCTTGCTAATGCCTTTGGTCTGTGTGAAGCCTTGTTGAAAGGTCTCATAGTCCTAGGCTTCCTCTTTAGACCAGTGTGGTATTTAGAATGTAACTGGCCCCCAAAAGCTCACAGGGAGTGGCACTACTGAGAGGTGGGGCTTTGTTGGAGTAGGTGTGGCCTTGTTGGATGAAGTGTGTCAACGTGGAGGTGAGCTTTGAAGTCTCATATATGCTTAAGCCATGCTCAGTCTTTTAGTTCTTCTTGTTGACTGTGGGTCAAGATGTATGGCTTACAGCTCCCTCTCCAGCACCACATCTGCCTGCACACCACCATGTCCTGCCTTAATAGACTAAACCTCTAAACTATAAGCCACCTCATTAAATGTTTTTTTTATAAGATTTGCCATAGTCATGGTGTTTCATCAAAGCAATAGAAAGCGTAAGACAACCATCTTTTCATTGACTGCCACTGGCCAAGA